CCTGACTTGTGCATTATCTTTGAAGATGAAGATGGGCAGGCGGGGATGGCCGGCAGTCCCTAGGAATGTAACAGTATCTGCTGCTGCTGTTGATCACTGCTGGGCTGGGTCCAGCCAGGGCCACATCCTTGGAGGCCTGATACTCCATGCAGCTGATGGAGCAGCCACCTGTCAGGTGGGGCTTGGGATGAGACTAAATTGGTTCTTTCAAGAGCCCAGGGTGCCCTCTTGAGGATGCCTGGAGAATCTCACCAACTTCATCCTAGACAGACTATGGTTGACTCTCAGGCTTTTCTCTCTGCTTCCTGCTCCTGCCCTGGCCCTTCCAATCTCTTCGTCACCCACACCCCTCCCAGAGCCCAGCCCACCCACCCACCCTCCTCTGGACAGATGCTTCATTTTGAGGGGCCTCACATATTAGGGGTCAGCAAGGCCCAACGTCTCCAGGGGCCTGGCATCCCGGGGCATAGTGCCCACGGTTTGCACTTGCCCATCAAAACCACCCCCTCCACATACCTTAGGGCCTAGAGGCATCTTGCAGCAACCTGAAGACTTTGCAGCATGTGATGACATGTGTTAATGAGACGTGGGCCACGCAAGGTGGCTCACGCTTGTAATCCCAGCACTTTAGGAGGCCAAGGCTGGAAAGTTGCTTGATCCCAGGAGTTTGAGACCAGACTTGACAACATAGTGAGACCCTATCTCTACTAAAAATTAAAAAACAAAACAAAAACAAACAAACAAACAACAAACCAAAAACTAGCCAGGTGTGGTGATGTGCACCTATAGTCCTAGCTAATTGGGAGGCTGAGGCAGAAAGATTGCTGGAGCCCAGGTGTTCAAGGTTACAATGAGCTATGATCGTGCCACTGCACTCCAGCCTGGGTGAGACCTTGTCTCTAAAAGAAAAGAGAGAGACTTGAGTAGCGCTCTAGAACCCCCACCCGTGGAGCCACGCTCTCCCAGCCCCTGGAACCAGCTGCCTGAGTCCCATGCATATCTAACTCTGGCCTGTCGGGATCTTGATAGCTCTCAGTGTTCCCCTCTGATGGTAATGCCTTTTAGGGTACAGATAAGGAGAAGATGAGGGCGTGTGTGGCAAGAATCAGGAAGACCAGTCCCTGATCTACCACGTAAGGCCAGGTGATCTGGTCAAGTGTCTGCACCAGAAATAGGTCATTGGATGAGCAAGACTCGACCCAGGCCAGCTTGTGAAGGTCTCTCTGAAGTCCTACACTGCCCTCCCTGACCATCTTAAGGGGAACAGAGATGGATTGCAGGGGGAGAGTGCTGAGCCTCTCCTCCTTTTCTACCCCTGCTAGAACTAGAGGGTCTCTAAAAGGGAAAATCACTTATAAAATGTGTCCTTTGCAGTAAGGAGGCACCGTTAAACTAATGATCAAATGGCAAGGTCCCTTGAGCATTCCCTAAAGGGATTGGACATGGCTGGGCAATGTAATCCAGGATCTTTAAGGTGCCTGTGTCAGAACTGGGACTAGAATAGGGCAGCCTAGAATAAGAGAGCTGTGCACCCTTCCAGGGGCAGACTGAGCCAGTGGAATTGAGATCAGATGTAAGATCTCTGCATTCTCAGCAGGTGTTGGTCAGGGGCTGGGGGTTACCCCACCACTGTCCCCACTATCTTCATTCTCCCCGAAACAGAGAGGGTGGGACTCCTCTGCACACATCCCCCTGGACTGCATGCCATCCAGGTGAAGCTGGGAGGCACAGTGCTGGCCCAGCAGCCTCCTCCTGCCCTGAACACTCACTCCACTTTGACCTCATGGAGGGAATATGAATGCCTGGGCCTCTCACCTGGTTCAGCACTCTTTTCCCTCTCTGTTTATTACACACACACACACACACACACAGACACACAGACACACACACACACACACACACACCCTTTATTCAGAAGTTGCAGGGAACTGGGGGTTTTATGTATTTTTGACTTTTTTTTTTCCTCCTTCCAACCCAGGCGTCCCTATCAGCTATTCAATAATAATTAATAAAATTTTAAAAGATTGCTTAAATCCCTCAGTTTGGGGTTGAGGAGCCAAGGAGGCAAAATGAGAACTGAGACACCTCCTGCCTACCTTCCTCTCCCTCTGCCAGCATTGCTTGGCCTGAGCATTTCCCTTGCTGTGCAAGATCCATCCTCCTTTGCTCATCTAGGGAAGCGGGTCCCTGGCTTTCCAAACTACTGCACTCCAAGCCTGGTCAAGCGCCATTAAGCCCCCAAACTCTCCCCTTTGCCCCAAGCCCACCATGTCCTGCAACCAAGGCAGGAGGTCTGGGTCTGTGCTTGGCTCCCTGTGACCCAGTGGGGATGGGTACTCCTGTGGGACATCTGGACTAGGCTGACAGACTTGAGAAGGGGGCCCACCATTCCCTTCTCAGATCACTGACTTGAGCACCCCACCCTGGGATTCCTGGTGGACAGGAGGTGGCACCGCTCCCTGAACCCCTGGCTAGTGTGGGCCCCTCACACTCTGTCCATGGAGCACAGCCTGGGGCCAGAACCCCAGGCTCCCTCAGCCTGGCCTAAGCTCCCATCAGCAGTGACCCACAAAGCCCTGGCCAGATGGGGGACATTTCTAAGGAGACCACAGTCCTTCAGAAGGGACTGCCCCCTCATCTGCTGGGCCCCAGAAGGAGCAAAAACAACCTTACCTCCCCTTCCAGTTGTTGAGGTGGTACCTGGGCTGTGCCTGGGAAAGGACTCGGGGGAGGATGGTGGTTTAGAGGGCACAGCCACAGAGGCAGAGGAGTTTTGAGGCTTTTTGTGTCTCCCCTGGAAAAATAACTTGGGAATTTGGTCTATTTTAAACTCTGGTTCTTTTTTTTTTTTAAGGTGGAGTCTCACTCTGTCGCCCAGGCTGGAATACAGTGGCATGGTCTCAACTCAGTGCAATCCCTGCCTCCTGGGTTCAAGCAATTCTCCTGTCTCAGCCTCCCGAGTAGCTGGGATTACAGGTGCATGCCACCACACCTGGCTAATTTTTGTATTTTTAGTAGAGACAGGGTTTCACCATCTTGGCCAGGTTGGTCTTGAACTCCTGACCTCGTGATCCACCTGCCCCTGCCTCCCAAAGTGCTGGGATTACAGGTGTGAGCCACTGTGCCCAGCCTAAACCCCGGTTCTTAAAATACGTGGCAGTTTGTCACAGGTTAGTGGATCAGGTGCTGTGGTGCTCTGAGGGGAAAGGGCCCGGAGAAGGACAGTGCATACTGTTTAAAAATATCCTGAATGTGTGCAGGCCTTGGCTTTTTTTGGAATGGGTTAAGGTTATTTCTGGCATGTGGTGTCAGGACAAGTGTGTTCATTTTGACACTGTAAATAAACTGGAAATGTGGACCACCACTCCTCTGCAGGGGATGAGGAGGAAGAAAAAGATGACAATGTGAAGGGCTGTCATAGCTCAGGGGCCCCCTCTGTTCCTGCCACTCTGCCACTCCCCAAAGAAAGCATGACTTCCTCCTGGGACACTAATTGAACCAGAGCAGGACTGGGGTTGCTGTTGCTGCAGGTGGTGGGGTGGGAGTGGGGGAAAGGGGCTAAGAGAGAACGAATGAAATGAGGAGCCTGGGTCACCTCACAGATGTTCTCCTTTAAGACACGAAAGAAGCCAAATGAGAGACTGAAGCCTCTGAACAGAAGGGGAAGGCAACCTGACCAAGATCACACAGCTTCAGAATCAGAGCTGGCCCCAGGGGCAAGAGCAGAGGGGAGGAAAGGCAGCTGTTCCTGTTCTTCCTCCCTCCCTTCCGCCCTTGAACACTGATCCTGGGGGTCAAAGCAGGATACTAGCACAGACCTGACTTAGGGTGCTGAGTGTGGGGGCCAGCACTCTGTGCCAGACAGGGGGCCAGGGGCCATGTGGTTTTCTACCAGTTGAAGAGTTTGGATTTTCCTCTAGGCACTGGGAAGCAGGGGATGTATTTTAAGCAGACATGAAGTGCCACATTTTCTCTTGAAATACTGCCCTGGAAGCCGGGTGCGATGGCTCACGCCTGTAATCCCAGCACTTTGGGAGGCTTAGGCGGGCAGATCACCTGAGGTCGGGAGTTTGAGACCAGCCGTCTGACCAACATGGAGAAACCTTGTCTCTACTAAAAATACAAAATAAGCTGGGCGTGGGAGGGCATGCCTCTAATCCCAGCTGCTCGGAAGCTGAGGCAGGAGAATTGCTTGAACCTGGGAGGCGGAGGTTGCGGTGAACTGAGATTGCGCCATTGCACTCCAGCCTGAGCAACAAGAGGGAAACTCTGTCTCAAAAAAAAAAAAAAAAGAAGAAGAAGAAGAAATACCGCCCTGGAGGCCACCGCAATAGTCCAGGCAAGCGTTGATGAGGGCCCAGCCTAGCCAGTGAAATGGAGAGAAGAGGCCAGTGCAGAGAGACACCTGGGGTAGAAGTGACAGGGGATCAAGCAGGAGGGAGGGTGACCTCTGGGCTTTTGGCTCAGGTTGGTGATGCCTGTATTCAATTCCTGAGGTTGCTGGAACAGTACACCACATATTGGGTGACCTAAAACAACAGGAATGTATTCTCTCATAGCTGAGGCCAGGTGTTAGCAGGGCTGGCTCTTTCTTGAGGCTCAGTGGGAGAATCTCTGTCAGACTCTCCAAGCTTCGGGCGGTTGCCAGCAGCCTTGGCACTTTCAGCTTTCAGATACGTCGCTCCCATCTCTGCCTACGTCTCCACGTGGCCGACTCCCGTGTGTCTGTTTCACACACTTGTCTTCCCTTGCGTACGTCTGTCTGCCCAAATTTCACTCTACTTATAAGGACACCAGTCACTGGAGTAGAGCCACCCAAATCCAATGTGACCTCATTTTAACTTGTCTTTGCAAAGATACTATGTGCAACTAAGGTCACATGCACATGCCTGGGGACTAGAAACATTTCTTGGGGGACACAATTCATTTTACCCATGACAGTGGCTGAGGGCTTTCCGCTGACCTTGAGCCCACATGTTTTTCAATGAATGGTCACAGGCCAAAGTCTGGGACAGTCTTTATTGGAGCTTAGAACGTCATAGCAATTCACCCTCATCAGAGGCAGACTGTGAGAAAGAGCAGCGATGTGGCGGACCCCCAGCAGGGGGAAGGCCGGGCTACATGAGGGAGCCCTGCTCGCCTGCAAGCAGGGGACAGATGCACACGCACACACTCTTCTACATGAACTTACACTCACACCTGCGCACTCGCTGCCGGTGGGTCGGAGGCCAGGCGCCTTGGGCTGCTCCCTCCTCACGGAGAGGCCTCCTCCACTCTGGGGGATCCGCTGAGCTGAGACGGGAGGGAACCACTTGAGGATCAGGGACGAAGGAGCTGGAAGCTGCAGGCATTTTGCAGTTAGGGAGAAGGGATCCAGGACAGGAGGGATGGCCAGGGACCAACCAAAGGGAGCTGAAGAAGGCCCTGCAGGGCCAGGAAAGGGGAAGAAGATGCTGGAGATGGGCAGGGGAAGGGGAGGGGAGAACAGATCATCTCTCCTTCACTCACTGCAACCTCACTGCCAGGGACAGAGCCCTGGGCACAGAAAGCCTGGGGAGAATCAAGGGGTCCCCTGTGTCCTAGGAAGGCACTGAAATGGGGAACAGATCCTGGGAGCCAGAGTCTCCCCCAAGTACCCCAAAGGGGACAGGAAGGGGGATGGTGAAGCGGAAAGGGTCCTACATGCTGGTTGTCTGGGGCAAGGAGACTGGGGAAGCACAGATTCTGCTTCTCACCCCAAACGGTGGGGTGTGGGGTGGGCTGATATGCAGCCCCTCTGGCCAGCAGAGGGGAGGGAGGGCCAGGGCTGCCCCTTTGGTCTCAAGGGCAGTGAAGCGGGGAGCCTGGCCTCACCCATGTGTCCGTGGTAGGGGGTGGAGGCAGGAGGAGTGAGGAACCAGAGCCTCCTGCCCCCGGGGCCAGGGCTACCAGAGCACGGCCCCATCCATGTTCCCGTAGCCTGGCTCGGCCCGCAGCCTCCAGTAGGTATTGTTGGTCACCCACCACTCCTTCCCGCTGCTATCTGTCTGCCGCCTGGCGGGAGAAGGCGGTGGCAGTGAGGGGTGAACATCTAGAAGGCAGGCTAGGGTCCTAAGGTGCTGCCTCCCACACCTGCCCTGTTCCAAGCAGGGCTCAAGGGGAGACCCAGGGCAGAGGGCGAGGCCGAGGCACCTGAAGAAGCGAGCCTGGTGTACGATGTTGTTTTCCTCCATGACTTTGCGCCTGTCTCGCTGCAGCTGCTCGATCCTTCTCTTCTGGGCCTCAGCAGCCTGTATGTTCCCCTCCTCCAGGTACCTGAGGATCCAGATCAAACTCAGTTGAACTGTCCATCTGCAGGGGCCCCCAAACCCAAGGCCTCTGTCCCTGCCCAGCTCTGTCCTCTAGACAAGCCCCATTTCTCTGAGGCCACTCAGTGAAGGAAGGACAAAGCCCCAGCTCTGTACTCCGTGGAGGGAGTGAGCCAAGTGGTTCTAGGCTAGCACCCATCCGGCACTGACCTCTGGTCTGGCCGGAGCCTCGTGTCGGTGGAAGGCAGTGACCGTTTCAGCTCTGCCGTCAGCTCATTCAGCTCCAGGGCAAACTGGGTGAAGCCGAAGTTGCGCTCATGGTCGGGGGGCATTGAGTCTGGGGGAAGGCAAGGGGCTGGGGTAGGTGTACCATGCCTGAGCTGCTCCAGCCTCATCCAGCCCTCTGTGACCCCTCCACTTACTGGGTTTCCAGATGCACTGGCCACCTGGTGTGGGTCCCCGGTACAGCCCCTCGTGCCACTTCCCAAAGAGTCGATGGAGGACACGGCCACTCCGACTGAGCACAGCGCCCTGCACCTCATGGACATTGGAACTCCAGTACTTGGCCTGGGGTGGGGAAGGCAGGGGTTAGGGAGGTGTCCTCTCCCGCTTAGCCAGGGTGACCTCCAGAGACTGAGGCTGCCGGGGGTGAATGGGCAGGGTCAGGGTGGCACATGCACCTTGCAGAAGGTGATCTTGCAGTGGCAGGAGCTGTCCTGTGTGTTCCGGATGAGCACCTCCCCATAGTGCTCAATCCAGCGCTGACCGCTCAGGACATTGTGAATGCAAGACGTCACCTTGTTCCACTCAAAGTGGTCCCCAAACCTGAGAGAAACAAGGAATGGAAGGGCAGCTGGCCGGCCCCAGTGAGTCAGGGGGCTCCTGTCTTGCTGGAGCAGGTCACGTCGGTCTGTGACAGGAACCCTGGGGTCCCAGCTCTGGTTCTGCAGTGAAGGATGACTTATATTCACAAGGCAGAGCGGCCTTCACAGAACGTATTCAATGAACACATCTCCGCTCATCTACAATGCCCCTGAGTGCCTGAGCAACGCGGATGAAAATACACAAAGTGTCCTGCCCTCGGGCACCAGGAACCATGTGTATGTTCACATCCATTATCCTGCTTAATCCTCACCTCTCTTGGGTTTTACTTTTTACTGTCATGTCACAGGCAAGGTGTCAAGTCTTTTTGCTGCTTGCATCACTACCTTTTTTTTTTTTTTTTTTTGCTCTGTTGCCCGGGCCGGCTGGAGTGCAGTACAGTGGTGCAATCTCGGCTCACTGCTACCTCCGCCTCCCAGGTTGAAGCAATTCTCCTGCCTCAGCCTCCCCAGTAGCTGGGACTATAGGCTCATGCTAATTTGCATCACTGTTGAGTGGCAGAACTCACGGCTTCTGACTCCAAAATCCAGGATCTCTCCCACAACACCCAGACCACTCTCAACACCCTTTTTCTTTCTGGCTTCAGTCCCCTGCCTGTAAAATTAGCTAGATGAGAGTTTTTCAAATTTTGTTTGTGACCCCTAAGTCCTGAGATCAATTTAGGTTTCTGTGTGTGTGTATGTGTACGCGTTGGCTTGAAGTCTCAAAGGCATTTCTGACTGTGAGTCATGGTCAAAAAAGTGTGAAAGCCGCTGAGTCAGATGACCTCGATGGGCCCTTCCAGCTCTACTACGTTCTAAGGCTTTTCATCTTTCTCTATTGGCGACTGCTGTAAATATAGGTGTAAAACCTACAGACACTGACCCCACTGCAAGCAGCTTCAGGACAGACCTTCCTATCCCGTCCTTATCCTGTCCCTAAGGCCACGTCCTCTCCAGCCTGAAGGATTGCCTGTGGCTTGGCCTGGCTGCTGAGAGTCTAAGAATCCCACCTGGGCAGGCTGACATTGACTGTTCCCACAGGCACAATCTCCAGGGATTTGCCCCAAAACTTGTTCTTCCACTTCATATCTGGAATTGGATTAGGGGAGGGAGAGAGAACAACAGAGATAAGGCCAGAGGGTGTTCCCTTTGCCCAGGGCCACCCCGCCCTGCCCTCTACTCCTCACCTTGCCAGAAGGCGAAGTTCTCAGACTCCGCATGGCAGGCCGAGATAGGGGGATGGTGGGAGACCTTGGTGAGCAAAGAAGTTCTCTTGAGGCTGTCCCTGAGCACCATTAGGGCACCCCAAAGTCCCTTACTCCCAACTCCACTTCCCCTGAGTACCACAAGACCAGTTGGTTCCAGGTCTCTTGTCCCTATCACCCTTGGCCATCTCCCAAACCCATCATCCTCTCTTCTTCCCATGAGGCCTCTATGTTCTCCCTTCTCGCTCCCTCTTTCTCAGGAGCTCCCCTGGCTGGCCTGTCTATGGCGTCCTCCAGAACCCCTGCTCAAGCCTGAAAAGTTCCCCGCAACAGTGACAGGTGAGGCCTCCACCCCATGCCCTGCCTGAAACCCAGCCCTCGCCGACAACCCTCTTCCCCACCATCTCCCCTCACCACACCCCAAAACTGATAATCACCCTGTAACCACCTGACAGGTGGGGACCTCATCCCCTGCCTGAAATGCAGCCCTTGCTGACGACCCTCTTCCCCACCATCTCCCCAACACCCCACCCCAAAGCTGATCATTGCCCTGCAACCTTTACCCCACACCCTTGGAAACACTTGGCCTTGTCCCCACTTGGAATGGCTCCACATCTGAAGCCTTCAATTCCAACATCCCACAGCCTGCCTGCCTCGCCTCTCTCTCCATTCCCTGTTGCCCACGGCTCCAGCCAAGATGTCCAGGTCCCCAACTGCACTGCCCTCCCGTGGTCTGCTAGCCCCATCCTGCCCTTTACAGTACTCTCACCTAATACCCTCAGCCACCTCCACCATTTGCCAGAAATGCCAGCACTGGCCTCCTCTGTACACCCCTGGCTCTGACTCTGTTGCCAAAACACAGACACGACCCATACTAAGAAAATGCTAAATCTACAATGTCCTGTGTCTGGGCCCTTGACATCCCTCACCAATCCTTCTCTGAGGACCTAGGCACAAGCCAGGCCCTTCAAACCTCATTTGCCTCCCACAGTCTGCGGCAGAACAGAGGTGGGTCAGGGAGGTGATTCCTTCTGCTCTGGCCGCAGTCAACCTGCTCCCATCGATGCCCCCCAGGTTCCCCCGTCCTCCTCCTTCCACACCTTCAGTCTTTCCCTCTTTATTTCTCTTTCTCTCTGAATATGAAGATTTTCGGTTTCTTTCACCTTAAAAAATAGCAAACCTTTCTTTTCTAGACACACACATCTTTGTTCACATATGCGTAAAACATTTCTGGGAGGAATCCCAAAAGCTGGTAGCAGTAGTCCCTTCGGAGCGTGGGGATGAGACGGAGGCTTATTTTCTATTGTACACACGAGCGTACTGTGTCAATCTTCACCATGTTTTCAACAACACTTCAAATCCAAACAAACAAACACACAAACTGCCTCGACCTTTATCCCCCACCAACTGCCACCTTCTCTCTCCTCTGTCCCTCATGGTAAAATTTTTGGAAAATAGTCTGCTTTTTTCTCTATTTTTTATAAAACCTACACTCTACACCCTCTGCAATCCAGTCTCTGTCCCCATCCTATCTCGGAAACCTTCCTCACGCAGGTAGCCGATGACACCCCTCAGGTCCCAGGGACCCACGCTCCCTCCCCTTTGGGGCTTCCCAGCGCTCCTGCCTGCCCTCTTCCCTAGACACTGCAGGCAGTCCTCCCGAGGGCAGTCCTCCCTTGATGTCCTCCTCCCTCTAAGCTGGCGACTCCTCGACCTGTTAGTGCCACCTGGTGCTCTTGGAGGAGCTCCAAGCCAGCGACTCCAGAGCCTCCTGGCCATCTCCCGTGGAAGCCGAGCCCACATAGTCAGTGTGCTCCCACACACACTGTCCACCTTGCTAACTGGCACCACCATGCACCCACCGAATTCCCCAGATCAGGCCGCCCAGACTTTTCCCTGTCAACAAAAACCTCCCCTTTCCCTACACGAGACAGTACCCTGCTAAGCACCAGGCCCTGTCAGGGGCAGCACATAAACAGCTTTTGAACCAAACGCCGCAGCCTAAGCGCAGGGCCTCATTAGCTCTACAGAGATGACAAGACAGACCCTGTTGGCCTCCACCAACCAGGCATATGCCACCCGGGTGTGCTTTGCACACTGAGATTCTGAGCAGCCACTCCACTGCCTCGAATCCTCCATGGTGCCAATGCCTTCAGGATTTAAAAACACACATACAAAAGCCCAAAGCCTCTTTCCCTTCACTGGCAGGACTCCTCAGCGTCTGGCCCACCTTGTCTTCCAGCCCCATCTCTAACCTTCCCAAGCCTGCTCCATGCATTCCTCTACACCATCTAGAAGGAACATCCTATTCTCCCCAGCCCCTGTACTGCCAGCTCTCTCCAATTCATCCTCCAGTTCATCCTAACCCAAGATTGGCCCCTAGAGCATGAGCTCCCAGGTGGAACTCCTGGGATCCCATGGCTGGACCTCAGAACGTGGGCCAGGAACACCACAGAGCCCGGCACAGAGCCAACTGCCCATGCTCCTCTCCCAGGCCCTGGTCTCTCTGCCCCAGCTCTGGTCCCAAAGCCCAGGTCTCTCCTTGCCCCAGACACCCAAGGCCAGCCGTCTTCTCCCAAGGCCACACCTGCTCACTGATGAAGCGGAAGCCTCGGTCAGGCCGCTCACACTCATAGGTCTCCCCCAGGACAGGGTTGAAGGGCTTGCAGCCAGCTCGGTGGTATGTAGAGGAGTAGGCTGAGACAGCAAAGGCTGCGATGTACACCTGCGGGGAGCAAGGCAGGTGCAGGGTGCTGAGGATGGGGCCGCCACCCCAAGCAAGCAAACTATGGGATCTTGGGGTGGAACTTCAGCAGCAAGGAACAGCCCAGCCAGGATTTTCTGGGAGAAAAGGTCCCAGGGAGAAGGAAGCAGCCTTGGGCTGGGCATAAGGACCGGTAGCAGGTACCATGCGCTCGCAGGGGTCGGCGATGCGGCTGGCCTGGTCCAGGAGGCTGCTGTACTCCAGCTCCTCGCAGAGTCGCTGCAGAGTGTTGAGCGGCTCGTTGAGCTGCACAGGCATTGACACCTTGGACAGGTCTTTGCCGATGTTGTTGCGCAGAATGTTCCACAGGCTCACGTCAGCCCCAGGTCCGCTGGCCGCCGGCAGGCAGCGACGGCGGGGTGGCCCCATGGGTCTCCCTGGAACACACCCCCCTGGGGCCGCCCTGCCATGTCACTCTCCAACTGGGCACCAGCCATCCCAGACACGGCAAGCCCACAGCCCAGTCCAGGGCCCAGCTGCCTCCCAAGCCCCTGGGACACTCCCCCCTGAGCCCGTGTCTCGACTCACAGCAGGGCAGGGTGACTGGGGCTCTAACTGCTGACAAGTTCCCAGGGACTGAGTTGGCTGGCAGGGGTGGGAGCCATGCAAAGGGGCGGACGGTTCCCACTGCCAGAAACCCTGCACCCCAGGAGCCCCTCCTGAGTCCTCACCCTTGCCTTTCGTTCCCTTTAGAAACACAGAAACAGAGGTCAGAGTGCAGATTACCCAGCCCATCTTATGGATGAGGAAATAGGCTCTCAGAAGTAAAATGACAGGTCCAGAGCCACACTGCTAACAAGCAGCAAAGTGGGATCTCTTGCCTCCCTCCAAGGCTCTAGGCAAGCCTGCTGCAACAGAGGCCAGCCCCAAGGCCGGAGCCTGGCCGTCCCAGCAGAGCTGCTCCTGGAATATTTCGCAGTTCATGACCTGGCCTTCCTTAGCTCCTGGGGTCAGCACCCAAAGCCACTAGCCCATCAGTCACCACAAGGGATGGCCTTTGCATGGGCCTGGGCTGTGGACAAACCCTGTTTTTCCACCTGCCTCCCACCCCTCCCTGCCTGCCCACCCAGCTGGCACCTTTCTGACAGCGCTCAGCTCCCCTGAGGTCCAGCACCTCCTCAGACAGGCTGGTGGTGATTTCACTGGTACACGACTCCTCCTCCTCTGAGCCCTGGGCCGGGACAGATGACAGGCCGGGCAGACTGGGCCTCCCCCGGGCAGCTGGGCAGTGCCCAGGGCCTGGCAAGAATCTGCCCAGCTAGCCCTTTGGTGGGAAGGGGAAGAGAATGTATTGGGGGAGCTCTGAGCCCTAAGACATTGCCCCGGGACACCTGGCATCACAGAGTGTGCCCAGCCACCTTGGGAAAGGGAGGGCCGGGTCCTGTGGCTGGTGGTAGAAAGCTCAGGGACTTGGCCCTGTGGCTGGTGGGAGAAAGCTCAGGGACTTGGTGGGACACAGACAGAAGGTAAGTTGGGGATTACTGAGGTTCAGGGTCTGAGAAGAGGGGATCAAGGGAGCGCTGAAGCTGAGACAGGGTCATAGGAAGATGACTGGGGTTGCAACTGTGGCAGTAGTTTCAGGAGAACCCCATGGGGATAAAAATGTCACACTCCTCTAGGAGAAGAGTCCCCAGCAGAGATTTCTGAGCAGGGCCACACAAACCCAACTGATCTGGACATATTCCCAGAGACAGTAGCTGAGGTGGTGAGAAGGGGCTGAGGAATCTGTGGTCTCTGTGGACCCCACCCTTCTGTTCCCAAGGTCGCCCCCAACCGCCCCGCCTCACTGCCAGCTTCCCTCTTCCCTCACCTCATTCTCAGAAGAGCTGGCGGACAGGAGAACCTCACAGGCATCGAAGAACTCTGTATGGGAATCAGCAAGGGACAGGATGCTGGTCTGCGACAGCTGGGGGGTGAGCTCGCGCCCCTTCATGTACAGAGCTTCTTGCTGTGGGAGCAACCAGATGGATGTCAGGCTCCGGGTCCAAGCCGGGGGAATCAGGTTGGGCACCCGCTTGCCTGACAGTTCCCGTGAGAGGGAGGCATAACCGGGCACTTTTGCTGAGTCAGACACCTTCTGAGCAGAAGAGGCAGAGGGGAGTGAGCAGGGGACAAAGGCATAGTAGAATGAGCCCTGGCCTGGGAGTGAGGGCACGCAGGCTCCATGATGACTGCTTACACTTCCTGGCACTGACCCTGAGCCCCACTCCAAGCCCTCTGTGTGCACTAACCCACTCAATCCTGACACCCACCCCGTGAGGTAGGTGCAATTATCACCCCCAATTTGCAGATTGGGACGCTGAGGCCCAGGATCACAAAGCTGGCAGGCAGCAGAGCCAGATTTGAACCCGTGGAATGCAGCTCCAGAGTCTGTGCTTAGAGCCCGAGTCTCAGTGCAGCCCACCTATAATTGCAGGAGCCTCAGCTCACCCGTTAGACCCTTTGAGCCTCAGTTTTGTTATGTTGAGGGTGAGAATCACTGCATCAGAGGACTCTGAATTAAAATAAAAAGTACCCTGCACATTGTTACAAAATGACTGAGATGGGGCTGTCGCCAACCTTATGGGAAAGACAGTGGAGCCAAATTTTGGGGCTATCTTGGGACTAAAAATCAACCTTGCCCACTGCCCTGGGCCTTGGCTCCCGCTGGGAGAGAAGGCGCAGGAGAATCGGCCCCCACAACCCACCCTGGCTCCGCACCTCCTCAGGGTTGAGGGAGCTGAAAGAGTCCGCCGTGGTGTCGGAGGAGGTGGACAGTGAGTGGAGGCGCCTCTGGCCAGTGGGGGCCTCGGAGACCTGCAGGGAGAGGGTGAGGGACACGGTGCCAGGAGGATGAGGTCCTCCCCACCTTGCCACCTCCTCTCTGCAGAGACTGCCTCTGCCAAACCCCCACCCTCACCCAGATCTGCTATCGGACCCCAGGCTGGCAGTCCTCAGCTTCAAGCCCTCTCCCCCCACCAGCCACCCTGTCCCCCAGGCCTCACCCCCATCCTTGACAACTCTGAGCCCTGGTGCATATCCCTCAGTCGGTCCCGTTCCGTGGTGAGGGCAGCCAGGACGCTGCTGAGGGAGCTGTGCACTAAAGGGGGTGTGGCAGACCATCAGAGTCCTCGCTCACTCCTGCCCGCTCCCTATCAGCCTCTCCCAGCATGCACTTACCCTTCTGGGCCAGGGCCCAGAAGCTGCGCTGCAGGTGGGCATAGTCTGTGGGTGGCAGCCCACGGGTGCCTGAGGAGTCCCGAGACTCCAGGTAGCGAGATAGGTTGGGAACAGAGCCGTGGAGACGACCAACCTGTTGGTGAAGGGGAAGGGCTGAAGGGGCCGGCCTCCTTAGAGCATCCTGCCCCGGCTATGTGAGGTGCACGCCCCACCTCACCCGTCCAATGGTATCATCCTTGGCAAAGCTCTGGGTACACCACATGCGGCTGGTCCGTTTCCCCTTCTTGGGTCTTTCAGTTGTCACTGAGGCCTGGCAAGTCAAGGTGGGGGCAATTTTGCTCACAGGGTGGGGAAAAGGGGCAGCAACCGTCACAGCCTGGGAGAGGTAGACGGCCTCCTACGCCATGGAGGAGGCCGCAGATTACCCAGCACAGAGGATGGGGCCGCTCAGGCCAGTGGATAGAGACAACTGACATCCCAGTGGAAGATGACAGCCACCCCGGCAGAGGCATGGGTGTGGAGGAACAGAGACAGCCTTGACAGAGTTTGGACATGGGGCAGGGGTAGGGAGGAAACCAGGCGATGCGTGGCTCTCCAGGAAACTGCAGCGATGTGGGAGGAATAGGACCCATCCTGGGGAAATGATGGGATTGGGGGCCTGAGCAGGACCCTGTGTGTTCCCCTGGATCTTACCTGGTGTGTAGGGATAACAGGGGCTGAGGGGATTCGGTGCAGGGACTCCAGGCTCTGGAGGAGCCTGTGTAGTTCCTGGAGCTTCCCCTGACACTCAGAGAGCTCTGTGGCAAGAAAGAACAAGGACATCACTCTCTCTTCTTTTTGCCCAGGCTAGAGTGGAATGGCATGATCTCAGGTCACTGCAACCTCTGCCTCCCGGGTTCAAGTGATTCTCCTGCCTCAGCCTCCCGAGTAGCTGGGATTACAGGCATGTGCCACCACGCCTGGCTAATTATTTTGTATTTTTAGTAGAGATGGGGTTTCACTATGTTGGTCAGGCTGGCCTTGAACTCCTGACCTCAGGTGATCTGACTGCCTTGGTTTCCCAATGTGGTGGGATTACAGGCGTGAACCACCAAGTCCAGCCTCAAGGACATGATTCTCCCAACACTGACTTCGTGGAGATCCTGATACTGCTCCCTGTTACCCGCTCAAGAGCTCGGGTCCCTACCCCTGTGGGTGTGGTGCCCCCTGGTTTCCTGGGAGGGCCTGAAGCCTAATTTCTACTCTGTCTCTAGACCACACCTCACCTCTGCTGCCTTTGAGTAGACCGGGGATGTGCTCACCCTGCCCTGCCTCTCTCTACTTGGTTTACACTTCTCCCTTCAGGCCAACTTCACAGACCCTACTGCAGGAACCCTTTTCTAGAGCACACCCCTTCCCTGGCACTACTCCTCAGGCCCCTGCCCTGTGTGGGTATTCAGTATCTGCTTTGTCATGATTCCCATCCCTGCATCCATGTCTGTCTATGTGCCCTGACAGATTCTTACTCTTCTGTAAGACTGGGACTGCCCAGGACAGGGCCAAGTAGATTGGATCTCTTTGGAGGCAGAGGCTGTCTCATTAAATTGGGTCTCCCTGAGGTGGGGATGGAAGTAATATTTTCCCATCTTGCTAATGCTATCTAGACCTGCCAGCTTGGGCCCTACCCTTGGAGGTGCTGTGTCTAGGGACCCTCACCATGAGAGCAACGGTCCAGCCCATCACTGTCCCTCAGCCAGGAAGACACCTTCTCCCGCGGTCCAAGCCCAGGTAGGGCTGAGGCAGCAGCTGCTGTTGGAAGCTGGGCACCAGGAACCTGTGGGATGAGCCCAGGGTCAGGAAGGATGGTGCCCACCTCCCTGGGTCTCACAGTTCCCCATAGCCCCTGCCCCTGAATTGTCATATTACCTGCCTGCACCCCAGGGTCCACCTTACCTTCCGGTGAGCGGTACTGGGCAGTGTGCCACGGGACATGTCCAGGCGGTGGGCTAGGCGGTGGGCACGCAGCTGTGCCACCCAGCTCTGGAACAGGTCCTGGGATTTGATCTGCAGAAGTGATGGAGAGGGGGAGGGCTATCTGAAGGGAGGGACCACTTTCCAAGAGCAAGAAGTCAGGGCTCTGGTCCCCAGACAAGCAGAGTCCCTTCTTACAGAGCCAGGTTTGTGCAAAGCTCACTTGCAGAGACACAGAGTGCAAGGTGCCCAGGTTTCTGAGCCCTTAGATCTGTGCCTGTCCATGCAACAACCAAGAAGTGCAGGTTTGCCCTTGGTGGTTTTTACAGGATGGAAACTTACTTCTTGTCAAACTCAGAGACAGACCCTGAGCTCCATAGACCCTCAGGCCCTGCCCCTGTGTGTTCCAATGCCTCTGCCAGGCTGGGGGCCAACACATATCCTGCCTCCCAGGGATGTCACCTTGAGGTGGTAGATGTTGTCTTCAGTGTCAAGGTCAATGCGCTGGGCCTTTTTGTTGATGGACATGACTGACAACCGGACATCGATGGAGCCATGGAGCTTCCCCTTGGTGATCTGGGAGTGAAGTGTTGGTGGGGGTACAGGGGACCTATTTTAGGCTCTCAGAGCCATAGAGCTACCATCTCCCTGAAGCCATTCTAGGTTCAAGGGCCAGATGGCAGGTTCACTCTCATGTCCAAGTCACACTATCAGTAGAGACTTGTCAATCATCCTCCCATGTGCAGAGCGCTCCCCTATATCAAGTCACATCTTGAGCTCTAAGAAGTCACAGATCAAGAAAAACTATTCCCACCCTCAGGGGTCTGGAGGGTTGTGGAAGGCAACGCCCTCCCAGAGAGATCCTGGGTACTCAGGCCTTCAGTTCCTCGTTCCCAGCCTGAGAATGGGACCAGGATGAGAGTGGTAAAGACCCCATTTCTTGGGCACTTATTCTGCCCTGTCCAGAGAGCCTTGTGTGTATGACCTCCCTTACCATGACAGCTCTGCACCTGGGGGAAGGTGCTCTCCTGTTAGAGATGAGGAAGCTACGGCCCAGGGATGTAACTCGCCCAAGATCACACATTCAGCAAGTGGTGGACCCTGCTCTGGTCGATTCCGGATACCCCGTGCCTGCCCAGGGCATACTGGGGCCAGACTCCTCCCACAACCCCAAGCCACTGCCCGGACTCACGTCTTGCCGGGTAGTTGCATAATGAAGGATTCCATCCTCGAGCACAAAGTATCTCTGTGATGTTGCCCAGGAGTGACAGGACCCAGGAGGCCAAGAGGAAGGGCATGAGGGAGAGGGTAACCACACAAATTAGCTTTTCTTTTCTTTCTCATCATGCAAACACCACTGGACTGCCTGGCAGCTGCCCCCCATTCCCACACCGCCCCCATGTCTGGCCCCTCCCTTTGCCTGCCCACCCTACCTTGTGCCAGCCCTTCAGAGGCCACTTCCTCTTCTTGAGCAGGTGACCTTCCTGCCTCTCAGGCATGACACCCTCTATCCCCAGCCTGCCCCGAGGCTCCTCCACCACCTCCCACAGCTCAGAGGCCTGCAGTCCAGGACAGAGGGAGGGGAGCACTGGTGAGATGGCCACCTTGGCCCCTCCCGGTCCGGTTCAAGCTTGGCCCACCCACCACTGCTTTCACGCTCTCTGACCTGCTGAGCACTGCTGGGCTTTGAGGACTGAGCGCTCTCAGGCAGGAAGGGCGGGTCCCTCTCTTGGAAGTCCATGGAGAAGGGAGAGGCCACTCCCTGCTGGGGACGTAGAGCAGAGAGCAGGGTGGAAGGGGAAGGATGTCACCTGCTCCTGATAGAGTCCTTGAAGCAAGAGAAAGACCCCCTTGGCGCAAATTCTGATCACCTTCCCCGCCTCCAACCCCTCCCACATCCTCTGAGATAAGGGCTCACCAACACACCCTCTGCTCACCTGCCATGCCTCTCCCAAGTCTGCCCCTCTGTCCTGACCCCACCCATTTTCACCTGATATGGACACTGCCCTGAGACATGAACTAGCACACAGCAGACAGGCAGATGCCCAGGGAAAACCACAAGACATATGCGCAGCCTGCCTTGGGCACAAGGCACATACTTTGGGACTCCAGGAAATATTCAGTGCTTTCTTTAGAGGCTTCCCTGGGAGTGCTCAGAGGTGAAGAAAGGGAGTGACAGAAGAGGCTCCAAGAAGAGACAGAGGGGTTCAGAGACTGGACAAGCGAGACCTCCTCAATCCAGCTGCCTCTGCCTTCAGGACCCCTCCACCCTGCCACCGTGACTCAGAGACTTCCCTGCCATGATCCCCTTGCAGAAAACTCCCCAGTCTCCCACCAATTAGTCTCCATATTCTCTAGTGCTTGGAGAAACTGAGGCCTGAGATAGCCCCCATTTTCCCATGTCTGCTCCTACCAAACATGCCCCTAGGATGCCCTCTTTGGACCCTCAGTGCCCCCTAAAGCCTCACCATCCCCTGTCTACCGTCCCAGTCCTTGGGGCTCTGAGAAGTGCCACCCACCCAGAGAGGGCAAGACACTGGGCTAAAAGAGACACTTCATGAGAGAAGAGGGGGCCCAGGACATGCCCAGGTCTGCACAGGTCCTGCAGCAGTGCCCACAGGCACCCTTGGCACTGGCCCTGGCCATCCTGGCTCCACAGGGAGATCAATAATGCAGGAGGCTCTGCGTGTGTGAGACGGGGGAGGGGACTGGAGGGGCAAGGCTGGTTTGAGGTGGGGGAAGCAGCCCAGATCTTCTAATGGAGCTAGCAAGCAGCTGAGGAACTGAGGCCCAGAACGGGCAGGGATGTGGCAGGAACGGGTGCCCAGGAGGTTGGGGCAGAGGGACCCTTGCTGCAAGAGGCTGACCTGGGAGGAAACTCCTGCATTCAGCCATTGAAAGTTCCCAAAGTCTTCCGGTGTTCAGGTATCTCTGTGCCCTTCTCTGGGCCCTGTGGGGATCCCGGCCCCTCACTGCTTGTGGGTGGAGGGGGAGGCTCTATCGGTAGGAAGGTGAGGGGTCTAGGCGAGCCAGGTGGGTGCCCCCTCTCCACCTCCATTCCCACCATCTCGGAAGCAGACCCACCAGCTTCAGGTGGGAGGAAGCTCTTCTCAGGAATGTCAGCTGCTGCCACGCAGCCCCCTTACCCCAGGGTCCATGGACGCCAGTGCTCCTTGGCCCTCACACCGCTCTGCCTCTGAGTCACCGTCTCCGAGTCACCGGCTCCCTCCTCACCAAGCTGAGCAGTGGCAGCAGCTGCTGCAGGAACCAGGAAGGAAGGAGACGTCGGAGCCTCTCCTCTAGCCGGATCTCCCCACCTCCCTCTCCCCTGTCCCCTCCTCCCGCCAAGCTCCGGGCAACCGCTCAGCTCTGCCCCCCTGCTCCCTGGAGGACTCAGGGCTGAGCAGACCGCCCTAGTATCCATGTGGCTTGGGAGCGGGGCACAGTCCCCACTGGGCATGGTTCCAGATAGATCAGAGGACTGGGGAACTGCTGGCTATACGCCAGTGGTGGTAAAGGCTTTATTCAGACTACCACGCCAGTGACCCTGTTAGTGCCCAAGGCCAATTCCTAATTAACCCCCACCCCCCACCTCTCATTTTACATCTGAAAATAGACTGCAAAATTTGGAGCCAGCAAAAGTATCAGGTTGATGGTGGAGGGACAGATGCCCCCTCTGGGACAGTAAGAGAGTGCCAAGAGCACAGTCAGCAGGGGCAGTCAAGCCAGAAGAGGGACAGCCAGCAGTCCCCACACTGAGGCCCTTCATTGGGGTGATGCCCCACTAGGTCAGGCCCCACAGGGATCTAAAAGTGCCTGTGCATACGATGACATCCTACATCCTGCAGTGTCTTGATCAGGAGCAGGCCTGGGGCAGTCACAGCTGCTGTTAAAAGGGCTGCAATGCTGGTCCCCTCCCTTCCCTTTACCCTTCTGCTGGAGTACTGTGTCCAGCTGCTCAATTCTCATGAAAAATCAGCTCTTAACAAAGGTCTAAAATTCATTCAAATGAAGGTGGCACAGACCTACAGCTTCAAGTGCAGCAAAGTTTTCTGGAAAAAAGTAGTCTTTTCTGGAAAGAAGTAGGTGGGGCCTCAGGTGAAGGATGTGATTCAAGTTTCTTCTCTGACCCCAAAAGTGACTTAGGCCACTTATCCCTTCCACTTCATCCTCACTGGGCCTGGTTCACATTTCAGGGTCTCACATATCTCTCAGGGACACCCACTGTCTTGCCTTTATTCAGAGCCTCAGCGCTGCTCCAGCCACCCCAGGTGGAGGGCATTGTTAGTACCTGGCAGGGTTCTTGGAGGGACAGGAGCACTGGGCAGCACTGGTCAGACAAGCTCTGGCATCCAGGAGCCTCAAGGGCCTTTTAAGTCACTTCCCAGTGATTGAGCATCCCGAGCATACAGCACAGGGCGAGGCACTGTGGGAAGCTGGTCCTGGCCCAGGCCACAAAAAGGCTGCTGCAGATCATCCCCGCCAGACAGTGCCTGTCCAAGACTAAGGAAACGGTGGCATTGCTTCAAGTCCGAGAAACAATGTTGAACAGCCACCCTCCCCGGGTCACCCCTGCATCCACCCAGAATGTGCTCCAATCAAGGATGACGATGGGCTTCGAGTTAAGCATCCCATCTCCTTTATTAGTAATGTCTGGTTCATGAAGACTTGCATAAGGCCTCCTACCCTAGAGCTCTCAGAACTCCCCATTAACAGAGAATCCTAGTTTTCCCACAGGCCTTTTGTCCAGAACCACCAGAGACATGTTAGCTAGTGGGTATACAGCTGTCAGCTGCCTTTAACAGGGCAAGCATGTGCGGGATGCCATTTCAAGAATGGGTATAGGAGAAGAGGATTTTCCTAGGAAGGGAAACAAGAGTGAGCAAAGTCAAATGACAGAGAAGCTCCTGAGAGTAAGTTTATAGGAAGGATAGCCATGTAAACCACAAAATAAAGGAAGTAGAATGCATTTCATTTTATTATAAAGCAGTGCTCACAAACTTTCCACAGCGTACACCTCGAGGGTGGAGAACTAACATCCAAGCTCACCTGGATGGTGGATGGGACCCACTTCTGGGTAACCTGATGAGGAAGCTCTAGGGTAGAAATTTGGGATGCGGTCTTCAGAGCAGAGGGCTTGGTTCAAGTCCCTGTTCTGCCACTTACTAACTGCATGACCTTGAGCAAGCCACTTAATTTCTCTGCTCCTTCTCTGTGAAATGGGTACAATGTGGTCAGGAGTAAAGGAACTAATACATGTACGGCACTCAGCACAAAGCCTGGCACACAGCAGGCTCTCACCTCAGCACAACTGCTTGGTTGAGCTACTGTGGCCGTGGCCGGTTGTGCCCCAAGGGGGTGGGCTCAGGAGCCTGTGCAGCAAGAGGCAGTGACCAAGGAGGCAGGGGATAATAGCCTTATCTTTTCAGGATCTCTGCCTTGGACCTGGAGAATGGAGAGAGACTTTGCTCCTATCAGGTCCCAAGTTGTCAGCCAGTGGCTGACATTTGAAATGAATCCTCTGCATCTCCAAGTGGCCCTATACCTGACAATATCATTGTTAGTGAAAACCAAGTGACAAACGCACCCCACCCCAAGTTCTTCCACATCTCCCGTGGAGGACAGCACAGCCAATAGGGCAGAGTGTATTTACGCGCAGGGCTGGCTAAATAGGCTGGCTACAAGTCCGGAACAGGGTCAGGAGGATCTGGCTTCCCACTGGCCGACACAACAGAATCCTTCTCCCGTTGCTCTCTGATGTACTGGTCCAACAGGGTGGTCAGCTGCAGGGGCTGGTGCTGAAGCAGGGAGTGGGTCTGGGTCGTGAGGTGGGTGAGGCCTCCAACAAGCTCCCCCTGCACCAGGGGCAGGCTGGGGAGCTTGGAGTAGTTGATAAAGCCCTGCCTGCTGAGGATGGTGTCATCAATGCAGCCACCTAGAAGAACACAGGGTCAGCTGGGCTCCTTGCAGATGCCTTTCTTCTCTGAAAACAGCTTTCTGACCCTAGGAACTTGCTCTCCATTGCCCTTCTCAAAATCCTGCCTTCCCCAAGAGCTGGGTTCCACTGTGCCCCACACCACACCCACTCTGCTTGGGATTGATCCCTACTTCTTCACTTTTCCCTCAGAAAACTCTCAATATATCCACCTGGCCCCAACCCCTATTAAGTCAGTATTTCCTAAACTTCCTTGTAAATAAGAATCAGGTGGCCAGGTGTAGCGGCTCATGCCTGTAATCCCAGCACTTTGGGAGGCCAAGGCAGGCAGATCATCTGAGGTCAGGAGTTCAAGACCAGCCTGGCCAACAAGGTGAAACCCTGTCTCTACTAAAACTATAAAAATTAGCCAGTCATGGTGGAGAGCACCTGTAATCCCAGCTACTCGGGAGGCTGAGGCAGGAGAATCGTTTGAACTGGGGAGGCAGAGGTTATAGTAAGCCGAGTTCATGCCATTGCACTCCAGTCTGGGTGAAAAGAGCGAAACTTCATCTCAGAAAAAAAAAAAAGAGAGAATCCAGATGAGGCCAGGTGCAGTGGCTCACGCCTGTAATCCCAGCACTTTGGGAGGCCGAGGTGGGTGGTTCACCTGAGGTCAGGAGTTCGAGACCAGCCTGGCCAACATGGTGAAACCATATCTCTACTAAAAATACAAAAAAAAAATCAGCTGGGTGTGGTGGCAGGTGCCTGTAATCCCAGCTACTTAAGAGGCTGAGGCAGGAGAATTGCTTGAACCCAGGAGACAGAGGTTGCAGTGAGCTGAGACTGCGTCACTGCACTCCAGCCAGGGTGATAGAGTAAGACTCCATCTCAAAAAAAAAAAAAAAAAAAAAATCAGGAGGCCGAGATGGGCGGATCACGAGGTCAGGAGATCGAGACCATCCTGGCTAACACAGTGAAACCCCGACTCTACTAAAAAAAATACAAAAAACTAGCCGGGCGAGGTGGCGGGCGCCTGTAGTCCCAGCTACTCGGGAGGCTGAGGCAGGAGAATGGCGTAAATCCGGGAGGCGGAGCTTGCAGTGAGCTGAGATCTGGCCACTGCACTCCAGCCTGGGCCACAGAGCGAGACTCTGCCTCAAAAGAAAAAAAAAAAAAAAAAAAAAAAAATCAGATTCCTGTCCCGCCCCCTCCCCACAGAGACCTATGAAATCTGGATTTCCAAGGGACATGTGCAGTATTCTCTGCCCCTTAAGTGAGTCAGCATCAGGGGAGTCTGAGAAACACTGGTCACTGGCCCTCGGCACCCTTTATTTGGGCTACTTGTTTTAAGTATCTTCATCTGTGTGGGTTTCAGCACCCACTACCCCACTGTTAGACTCAAGGTATCTGAATTTTCTCTCCCTGCTCCATGTCTGCCTTTCCTAGTCTTCCCTCCAGTGCAGAAGTGACCTGGGGTAGTGAGACAACACAGGTGTGGGAATGACAGTCGGCCCTCAATAAATGTGCTGTTGACTCAGGCCCCATCCGTGAAAGGATGCTCTCTCCAAGAACGTTCACGGTTCTACCAAGACAAACTGAGCAGATGGCAGCAGGCTGCTGTAGCACCTGCCCCTCTTCATCCCACCCCTAACTGGCAGGGGTGCTTGCTCACCTAGCAGCGGCAGGAATGGCACAGTCCTTAAGATCCGTACCATCTCCTTGACCTTGGGCTCTTCACTGACCAGCAGTATGTTGTGCCCCACAAAAAGGGGCAGCAGATTTTGGTACTTGGAATCCTCCAGGAAGGGCTTCAGGACCTGGGACAGCAGGAGAAAATGACATCGAGAACAAGTGGGAGGAAGAGCCACCTCGTGGGTCATGGGCCACATTAGGCTGAGGGTGCAACCCAAGGGTCTTCTCAGCCCCTAATCATAGCTTAGACACCAGATTAGACGGTGACTCATGGACAGGAGGAATAAGAAGTATCATTACTGGGGAGCAGATGATGAGGTCTGAGTCTGGTGGGGGTTGGGGGAAGATGGGCAACCCATGCCAAGGGGCCTGCTCCCTACCTGGTTGGGGAAGACCTTCATCAGGATCTTGTGTTTCCGCAGCTGGTGTCGCATAAGAAGCTTGTCCTCTGCGCTCAGAGCCACGTTCTGGCAGACGGCTATCATTCGGTTGTCCTGGAAAACTGCTGCTATCTCCCGGCGGAG